ACACCATAAAATGGACATTTACATAAGACCATGTGCGTTAGGAAATCATAGACTCTGCGTGGCATAAATTATCAAGAACACAGTATTGCAACAGTCCCAGATTAAAGGAAAGTGATTGGGTCTCCAGTTCCCACACTTCAAAGCGTGACGTGTCAGAATCTGCTCAGATGAGCATCGGTACAATCAAAGTCAGGAACGCGTGAAAAAAAGGGCGTCCTTTCAAAAGAACGCCGTCGAGTGTCTGATTGCATTCGTGGCCGGTCTTTTTTCTAACGCACTCAGACTGGACGAGACACACGGAGACCCGGCGGGTCGAGTCCTAGCACCACAGAAAACACCTGGATGGACGAACACCGAGATGGGACGAGGGAGGGAGGGGGGGATGATTAGCACCCAATCAGCACGGAGCCGCAGCGCGCGGCGGCCAATCAGAACTGCTCCAAAAGCTGTCGGAGGTAGGGGGCCCTGGAGAGCTGCCTGCTGACCCGGGAGAGCTTGTAGAGGACCGGGCAGTCCAGAGACACGCAGGGAACCTGCCGGTCAGCACCCCCGCTGCAGCTCCTGCAGATCTGAACACACACACACACACACACACACATATATTACTACAACACTGCTCCCCAAAACACAAGGGGCTTCCCTGACTCCCTGGCTCAGATCAGCTGCAAAAAAAGCCCTCAGAGATCAATATGAGGTAAAGGAAGTGTTTTGGACTTTCTCTGAGTCTGAGTTTTTTTCTAAAAGCTTAAAGTGAAGACCTCGTAGGTGCATAGATCATTCAAACGCGCACAGAGAGACACACATTCACACACGTACAGACACACAGATTTACACACGAACACACGCACACACATGTACAGACACACAGATTTACACAGACACACAGATTTACACACACACGTACACACACACACACACACACACACACACATTACTACAACACTGTTCCCCAAAACACAAGGGGCTTCCCAGACCCCCTGGCTCAGATCAGCTGCTTCAGAGGTCTGTAAAAAGTTTTTTTTCTAAAAGCTTGGAGAGAAGACCCCTTAGGTCCATAGATCATTCAGTTCTCATCTGAATCTGCACACAAACACAGACAGACAGACAGACAAACACACACAAACACAGGTTTTTGTGGATTAGAGGAACAGTTTTTTCAAACCAGTTTTTTGCTACACTAAAGGGACACCACTTTCCACCTATGCTAGAAAGATGTGGTAAATCTTCAAAAAATATGTTTAAGCTATACAATACAAATCTCACTTCAAAATGTAGGTAAACGCATCAGAAGTCAAGATAGAAAAACCTGACACAGTGCTTTATTAAGAGGACAAATGATAATGAGGCACTTAGCTCCGCCCATGACTCCAACAGTAATTGGTAGGGCTACTTTATTTATCAGGACCACAGCCATACCACATACACAGACATGACATTTCTGTCCTGTTAATCCAAAATGTCCTTCCATTGTGGCGTGTATTCTTGCCAATTGTCCTGTTAATGCTTGTTTACAAACACACACACACACACACACAGACCTTCAGCAGGTGGTCCTGCTGGCTCTCCCACTGCCTCATGTCCTGGTGGAGGGTGACGGCCACCCTCTGGGGCTCTGCGCGGCAGGGCGAGCACACGCCCAGCTGGGTGAGCTCGCCACACACGGGGCAGTGCAGCGTGGTGAAGTACTGGGAGATGGTTCCCTTCCGCCCGCCGTCCTCAACGCCCGCCAGCGAGGAGCAGGACGCCTTCTGGATCTGCAGAGTCACACACAGAAAATCCCCCCCGTCAGGAAGTCCTGCAGCTGCCTCTGTCCAGTGGCCACCGAACCCTAGCTGTTAGCAGAGAGCTTCTCTGACCAAACAGGGTCTCATTTGCCATGATTCTCATTAAATGTTTGTCAAATGGAGAACTGAGAGGAACAGTGTGTCTGACAGTGAAGAGCAGATGTGTTTGCAACAGCTGGCAGCAGTGGACCTCTGAGCGGCTGAGTCTGATGAGATTTATTTCTTCAGCCTCTGTTTTCTCCAGTCCGCTGTTTCGTTAACGAAAGGAAGCTGGAAGTGGTCTGCATTCATCCAGGACTGATGCTCCAAGATGAGGGAGAATCAGTCTGTTGCGTGGTTTGTTTTGTGGCAAAGTGACCGAATTACATATTAAATTCAGGTCAAATAAATTAAATTCCGTATGCGGAGCCTCTGCTCGCAAGCGGGCGGCCTGGGTTCGAATCCAGCCAATGGCCCTTTCCCGCAGGTCTCCCCTTCTCTATCTCTGCCCCCTTTGCTGTCAAGCTACTATCATTAAAGCACGGTGGTTTGGTGGTTAGCACTGTCGCCTCCCAGCAAGAGGGTTCTGGGTTCGAATCCCGGGGGAACCAGGACCTTTCTGGGTGGAGTCTGCATGTTCTCCTGTGTCTGTGGGTTCTCTCCGGGTTCTCCGGCTTCCTCCCACCGTCCAAAAACCTGCATGTTAGGCTGATTGGAGATTGGGGAAATTGCCCTTAGGAGTGAATGTGAGTGTGAGTGGTTGTTGGTCCTTGTGTGTCTCTGTGTGTCCCTGTGATGGACTGGCGGACTGTCCAGGGTGTACCCTGCCTCTCGCCCGTTGACCACTGGGATAGGCTCCAGTTCCCCCCGCGACCCCATCAGGGAATAAGCGGTATTGATAATGGATGGATGGAATTCCTCTCATTGGACTTCCATTTGGTGTAATTCCTGCTGCCCGCCTGTAGGGGGGGCACTGATCAGAGCTGGGGGTCTCACCCTGGGCAGCTCCTGGTACCAGCCGAACACGTCCACCCCGATGAGCTGCAGCATCCGGGCCAGCGGCGGCAGGATCTGCTTGCTGACGTAGTATGTGGCGTTCAGGCGCAGCGCGGCGTCCTGCAGCACCTCCAGGGGGCGCCGCACCAGCTGGATGAGCGGGACCCCGGGGGTCCCGTACACGATTACGTAGGGCACCCGCTCGCCCACGCGGGGCTCCAGCCGCCGGTCGTACGCCATCATGCGCCTGGAGGGACACACGGGAGCCAATCACACACCGGGAGAGGCCGTTTCCCGCGCGCTAATGATCTGGAACTTTTGCAGTGGATTAATATCCTACAGTGAATATATTATCACAAAAGATTAGTAGTAAGTGCATTAATATATACAGTGATCCCTCGCCACTTCGCGGTTCACTTATCGCGGATTCGCTATTTCGCAGATTTTCATAATGCATTTTTTTTATTTTTTTTTGGTGCATTGTGCTCTGCATTCTGATTCGCTAAAAACTCACT